GACCCAGCCATTCCAGTCCTGGGAATTTACCCAAGGGAAATAAAATCAGCATATGAAGGAGTTATCTGTACCCCATGTTCATTGCGGCTCAATTCACAACAGCTAAGATATGGAATCAATCCAAATTCCATCAACTGAAAACTGGATAAAGAAATTATGGGATATCTACACCATGGAATAATACATAGCACGAAAAAACGAAATCTTGTCATTTGCAACAAAACGGATGGAACTGGAAAACATTATACTTAGTGAAATAAGCCAGTCTCAAAAGGACAAATACCCTATGTTCTCCCTGATCTATGAATACTAATAGAGCACCTAAAAGGTAATCTACAGAAGTGAAAGTGACATTTTGAGATGCATTGACTTTGAAGAGCCCTTGTTTCGATTATTGAGGAAGTTTTTTTTCATACAATTTGTTGAACACTTTACTTAGTATAGAGTTAATCTTATGTGTATAAATTTAATTGAAAATAGATCATAGTAAAAAATAAGAATGGGTATAGGAGAGGGAGGAGGAAGTGGTGTAGGAGTGTAGGTGGGATGGTGGGTACAATGGGAAGAATCACCATGTTCCTCAAGTTGTATTTATAAAAGGCATGAAGTTTGTATACCTTAAATAAAAATATTCTGGGAAGAAAATATATCACTAAGCAAATATTCAACAAATAAAAAGTAGAAAAAGAAAAAAAAAGAACTAGTATCATCAAAATGTCTATATTACACAAAGTAAGTTATAGATTCAATGCTATTCCAATCAAAATTCCAAGGACATTCTTCACAGAACTAGAAAAAAAAAATCCTAACATTCATATAGAAACCAAAGACCCTGAATAGGTAAAGCAGTTTTAACAATAAAAACAAGCCAGAGGCATCACAATACTAGATTTCAAGACATACTGCAAGGCTGTTACAATCGAAACAGCCTGTTACTAGCACAAAAATAGACATGTAGATATATGGAACAGAATAACCATCCCAGAAATTAATCCACATATCTACAACAAACTAGTCTTTGATAAATGAGCTAAAAGTCATTCTCTGGAGAAAGGATGGTCTCCTCAACAAATGGTGCTAGGAAAACTGGATTTCCAGCAGCAGAAGTTTGAAACAAGACCCCTAGCTTACATCTTATACAAAATTCAACTCACACTGGGTCAAAGATTTAAACTAAAGACCTGAAACCATCAAACTAACGAAGGAAAATATAGGCAAAATTTTGCAAGATATTGGCCTAGGCAAAAACCTCTTGGATAAAACCCCAGAAGCACAGGTGATAAAAGCAAAAATAGACAAATGGGATTACATCAAGCTACGAAGCTTCTGCAAAGCAAACAAAATAATTAACAAAATGAAGGGACAACTGACAGAACAAGAGAAAATATTTGCACACTATGCATCTGATAAAAGATTAATATTCAGGGACCAGCTTTGTGGTATAGCAGGTAAAGTTGTTGCCTACACAACACTATCATCCCATATGGGTGCTGGTTCATGTCCCAAACACTCCAGTTTCGATTTAGATCCCTGTTAATGGTCTGAGAAAGGCAGCAGAAGTGCTTGGATCCCTGCCACCCAAGCTCCTGGCTTCTAGCTTCAGCCTGACCCAGCTTCGGCTGTTGCAGTCATTTGGGGAGTGAACCAGCAGATGGCAAATCAATCTATTTGGGCCAGCACTGTGGCATAGTGGGTAAAGCCACCACCTGCAGTACCAGTATCCCATATTGGCACCGGTTCGAGTCCCAGCTGCTCCACTTCTGATCCAGCTCACTGTTACTAAGCAGTAGAAGATGGCCCAAGTCCTTGGGCCCCTGCACCTGCGTCGGAGACCTGAAAGAAGCTCCTGGCTCGTGGCTTCAGATCGGCCCAGCTCTGAACATTGTGACCATATGGGAAGTGAACCAGTGGATGGAAGACACACTCTCTCTCCCTCTCCCTCCCTTTCTCCCTTTCTCTCTCTCTCTCTCTCTATCTGCTTCTGCCTCTCTGTAACACTGCCTTTGAAATAAATAAATAAATCTTTAACAAAAAAATTAATCTCTTCCTCTCTCTTTCTCTGTAAACTCACCTTTTCAAATAAAATAAATAAATCTTTAACAAAATAAATATTTTTAACATTTATTTAAAAATAAATATTTACAAATTTAATTTAAAATAAAATAAATAAATCTTGAAAATATTTTATTTAAGTTATACAGGTTTCATGTATTTCATACACACAGACTTACAAACATAGTGACACTTCTCCCCTACCTTCCTTCCAGCCCACCCTTCATCATTCTCCCTCTCCCATTTCCACTCTTAAGTTTTACAAAGATCTACTTTCAGCTTACTTAATATTCATAAAGTTAACCCCACATTAAGTAAAAGTGTTCAACAAATCATTTGAAGAAAAAAAAACACTGTTCCTCAATAGAAGAGACAAGGGCTATAAACAACCATTGAATCTCAAAATGTCCATTTTACTCCAATACATTATGTTTTAGGTATTCTATTAGTTAAGAAATGGAGAGTCAGAGAATAGTACTCTTGGAGTACTAGTAAATTTTTTTTGTTCTTAATTTGGGTGTTGGTTATAAGTATGAGCAGGGGACAAAAACTCATCTATATACTTAGGTGCATTTCTTGGTACGCACACTATATTTCAATAAAATGTTTAAAAAATACTTCATTGGCTCAGAAAATGTCTACTTTTCAAATACATTAGTGCAGCAATTCAATATTTTATCCATCTTTGCATTATTTACCATATATGTATATTACCTGTAATATATTTAATCATTTTCTTTTTTATTTTTCATTTTTTATCAGAATCACAGAGAGACAGATTGAAAGATAGAGAGAGAGAGGGAGAGAGATCTCCCATCTGTTGGTTCACTCCCCAAATGGCCAAAATGGCCGGAGATGGGCCGATTCGAAGCTGGGAGCCCAGTAGGTACAGGGGCCCAAGGACTTGAGCCATCTTTTGCTGCTTTCCAGGTGCATTAGTAGGAAGCCAGATCAGAAGTGGAGCAGCTGAGCCCAAGGGATGCCAGTGTTGCATGTGATAGTTCAACCCTCTATGCCACAGTGCAGGCCCCTTTAATTGTTTACTTAAAATCAATATTAAATTGCTCATTTTCTTTTTCCTTATCACCTTCCTAAGCAATACTATTCACGAAATCACATTTTTATAAGCTAATTATATATTTTTTAAAGATTTATTTTATTTATTTGAAAGTCAGAGTTACGGAGAGAAGTAGAGACAGAGAGAGAGGTCTTCCATCTGATGATTCACTCCCCAGATGGCTGCAACAGCTGGAGCTGCGTCGATCCAAAGTCAGGAGCCAGAAGTTTCCTCCGGGTCTCCCACATGGGTACAGGGGCCCAAGAACTTGGGCCATCCTCCACTGCTATCCCAGGCCATACCAGATGGGATGCTACCCATCCCAAGCAGAAACTGCTTGGGATGCCTGCATTCCATATCAGAGTGCTTGTGTTCAAGTCCTGGCTTTGCTTCTGATTTTAGCTTTCCTGTTAATGTGCCTGAAAGGCAGCAGATGATGGGGTTCTGGACTTTTGGCTTCACTCTGCCCTAGTCCCTGCTGTTATGGACATTTGGGAAATGAATCAGGGGATGGGATATTTCTTTCTCTATCTCTTGCCTCTATAATAATAATAATAATAATAAATTTAAACTGTAATCACCTCTTTATATTCTTTAGACATAGAAGAATTATAACACAAGATAATATTTTTACCTTGCAACTTGTCTTTTCCACAGAACTCTATAATAAGCCAAAACGAAAATCTATAAATGGGGGCCGGCGTAGTAGTGCAGTAGGTTAATCCTCCTCCTGCAGCGCTGGCATCCCATATGGGTGCCGGTTCTAGTCCCGGCTGTTCCTCTTCCAATCCAGCTCTCTGCTATGGCCTGGGAAAGCAGTAAGAAAATGGCTCAAGTCCTTGGGCCCCTGCATCCATGTGGGAGACCGGAGGAAGCTCCTGGCTCCTGGCTTTGGATCAGCACAGCTCCAGCCGTTGCGGCCATTTGGGGAGTGAACCAACGTATGGAAGACGTTTCTCTCTGTCTCTCCCTCTCACTGTCTGTAACTCTACTTCTCAAATAAATAAAAAAATCTTTTAAAAAATCTATAACTGAAGCAAATCACAACATTCTGTAAATATAGACATCACTGTCAGTAACAGGAAGAAAAGACCCCTCAATGCAGAGAGGCAATAAGCACAATAAAAGACATGCAAAGTGTTTACACCAAAAGGTTGAATACACAACCCTGTAATTTTGCTCAACCCACAGTCACTTAAAATTTCAAGAAAGAAAACCATTCACAATGAGCATTTATGACAAAAAGCCATCATTCTTTGAAATAGATTATAATTAAGGAGAGTAAAGCAGTGCCTGCACTGTGTTCAGGGGAAATGACTCAGAGAAATTCTTTGGAATAAGAGGAATCATGGAATTTTGGAAACATCTTGAAATGCACGCATCTGTTCTCAAGGAAAATTCCAGGTCCTAAACCCAAACCTAGATTGTAGAATACCTGCTGGTGAATGTTAGCACAGCCTGACACATTAGGCATGCTCATCACACACTATTGTATTACAAGAGTTTGTGACATCTATCATGATTCATACGTGGTTTTTACCAAAATTTTTAAGCAGAACTTTAGAAGTTTATTTTTTAAACACATTTCTAGAATTATTGGCTCTTTATTCATACAGCTAGAGATGCTATAAAATTGTGGGGTTTTTTGAGGGGAGAACCTGAAGGCTTTATCTCAAGACTCAAAAGATCTTTTAAGTAGGGAATGAGTTATTTCTGGAATAAGAATTTTGCTTTTCTCAAAGCTCAATGGTGATGAGGTTGGGAAGGACATGGGAAGAGAGAATTATTTGGGTCAGTGAACATAAACACCTGACCTAGAATCTGTGCAGGTCTGGAGTTTCTCCCCATAGTATATCAACTTATATCCAGCCCTACTCAAAATCATACAAACCTTCCAGACTTGTAACTTGCTGGAACTTCACCAAGGCTTACAGGTACACAGATACTATGGTATAATAAATTTTCTCTATGTAGCGCAATCCTGTGTGAATCCAGGGGAGAAAGGAAACACCAGATGACGGAGACAATGCTAAGGCTCATGTGTAGAACTAAACAATAACAGCGAATACATGTGTGTTCTTAGCCACAAGGTATTAACAAGCTTCTTACAACATTTCTTAATGAAAAGACTCTCCTAACTAGATACATGAAGGAATTTAATTTTTCTAGATGCTTTCTCTTTAAAAGCTTGCCTACCCCCAGAATTCCTGTTAGTTCTTCCCATATTTGAAGAGCAATTCTTATCTGTTTCCTGGCCAAAATTATTGATGCCATTATAAAAGTAGTATCACTTCCTGTGTCCTCCAGAAAAAAAAAATCCCAGGGTTAATTTCTCAAGTAAGTAATCTCAACAATCCTTCAATCAAACATTTCCATTTGCTGACAAATGAGACCAGATGTTCACGAGCAGGTCTAGCAAGCTCTGGAACGTAAGTACCTTGTTATTAAAACCTTATTTTAAAAACTGATTCATTTTCTCTTCTTCATAACTGAAATTCACTGTTGTGGGAAGCCCTTTTCCTCTCTCTTCCCACCCCACCCTTTTGTTCTTTCCCAATCCCCATTCTTCCCTTTCCGGGAGTTTCTAGAAGTGCAAATATTCTTAGAGCCCCCAAGTTATTTAAATGTAGAGAAAAACAGAGTCAACATTTATACAGTGATCCACAATTTAAGAAAAACACTTCCTCATACACAATGCCATCCTTTGTACCCACATCTCCTGTGATCTGCCACTTAAAAGTTGATACTCACTTTTATTCTGGAGAAGATGAAAAAACATGTGAAAAGGAGAAAATCTGATCCTGAAAAGAGTTAATTCCAGTACGATTTCTCTGAAATAAACGATTTCTCTTAAATGGCTGTAGTTTCAGGAAGTAGGAATTTGAAAGAAAACAAATCCTGTCACTGTCTCAGAATGTGGTTGCGTAATTCAACTCCCGGGGTTTTCAGCAGTTGTGCACCACAGGGCACACCCCTTGAGGAATTACTTTAGTTAGTGAAAGCATGCTGGGAGTTGTGTTACCACATAGAAGTTCCATCTCTAAATGAAAGTGCAAGAAGACTCCTCATTTGGACTGGGTCAGAATAGAGAATTGCCTAAGAGCCAAGAAAAGAGAGCATCAGTAAGAAACAATGACCGTGACATAGTTTTCATGTATCATCCAGAAAAACTCATGTTCAGGCTGAGTTCTGTGCTTTGTCTTAAAACTGCAGTGCCAAAGTGAGCTTGTTATCATGGAGACACATATACATGTATTACTAATCTTATTTCAATTGAAAACTCAATTAGAACGTTCTTGCCAGAAAGTCTGGTCAGTCTGACTGGTTTGACAATGTCTAAGTTACATGGTGGAAATTGTCCCTCAGTTGAACAACCTTAATTTGCAGCTCTCAATTTAGACCAAAAAAACATCAAAAGTACATAGGAGATTTTCAAAAGTTTATCAAAATACATTAAATTGGAAAAAAAGTTGTTGAAGTAAAAAATATGTTAATTTTCTCAACCTTTCAGCTGCTGGGCTAAAGTTTCCTCTAGAGTGAAGGAGAGAGAGATTCACTAATAGTAACAGGATACATTTTGGTAAAGCCTTTCTGGTATATGTCCCAGAAACTGAGAGGGTGAATGACTTTAATAACTGGGTACATGATCTTTGGTGAGTCAGATGGTTTCCAGTTCTGCCTCTTAACGAAACAGAAGGAAAAGAAGCAAATAGTCAGCAGGTAAATCACTTTTTTAATGACAGATCATTATGTGATTCTCAATGTAAGACTTTAGAAAAAACTGAAAGAACTGGTTTTGCTATAACCAAACTCTTTATTTATATAAACAGTTTCCTCTTTTATGTATACATTTTTGTGGAATGCTGTTCTACTCTAGCTGTAACTTTCAACTATTAACTAATTTTTTTAATTCCATAAATCTCATTGAAAAATGCATCTTAAATAAAATTTTATGTGTAAAATTTATAAAATACATCATTTTATTTCTGTCTTTTTAAACAGTTATGAATGAATAGTATTTGTATAATTCATTCTTCAATATTTATATATTTTTATTGCAGAGAATATTTATTGCAGAGATAAACACTTCCAAGCATTTAAACTATTTTATGTTAGAAGAATATGTGAGACAATTGCAAGAAGATGGCGGAATAGGGAGGGAGCACACTGATGGTCCGGGAAGGGAAGGTTCAAAGAGGGGTGAGAATTTCTAGTTTCGGGGAAAGGGAAGCTCTTCCAAAATAGGGGAGACAGGAGGACGCGGACGCCTGAGGAGCAGGACACCAGCAGGAGTGTGTACACACCAGCGCTGGAAGCCGAGGTGAGACAGGGCGCTCGCCCAGCACCGCTGTAGCAGCCGCTGCCGCCCCTCCCCTCCCCCAACCCACCCTGGGATGGACACTGAGACACGAACGAATGAGTCGGGGAGGAAATAGAAAACGGAACAGAGTGAGTAACGCCTGCAGAAGGAGTGAGCAATTCAGGGGGTCTGATTGAGGGACTGAACAATCCAGGATCCCTCCTCCAAGTCGGGGAGCTGCAGCAGGCGGGAAGCAGCCATCTTGTTTGTTTACATTTGGGGTTAAAGGAGAACTGCCTCTGCCTCCGCACTAACCTTCGGAGGCAGAGCAGCGAGGGAGGGCAGCTCAAAGCCCTGACACCAGTCTATTCAAGTTACCAGAAAAAAAAAAAAATTGAATAGCGCCCGTGGGAAGAGGGCAGTATCCAGGGGGACGAACTGAGGGACCAAAAACACTAGGATCCTTAGGAGCCGCCCAACCCACAATCAGAGCTGCAGCGGGCAGAGTGCAGCCATCTTGTTTGTTTACATTCGGGCTTAAAGAAGGCTGGCCTCTGCTCCGAAGGAGGAAGCAGCAGGGGTGGAGTCCAAAGGTGGTCTGGAGCTACTTGACACTCCTCACGCAGGAGGTGCAGTGAAAGAGAGTGGCTGACCAACGAACCCCAGGCACAGACACACAAGGGCGAACATAGGAACAAGGAAACCGGCCCCCAAGGGGCAGAGATTGGCACCTCAAAGCCCTGACACCAGCCCACTCAAGTTACAATAAATAAATAAATAAGTAAGTAAAAAATAAACAAACAAATTCTAGAAGGCAGAGCAACCTGCTTACACTGGATATTGGTACAGACTCACAGCAGCCCATAGAAGAGGGAAATCAACCTGAAAAACCACCCAGACGGAATGCCAAAAAACAAAACAAAAACCCACAATAAGAATATAGAAGAACATATAAACTCGCCAATGGAGCAGGCTAAACCAACCATAACAGAGGCTGAAGAAGAAGAATAATTTGAAACTATGCCAGAAAAAGAATTCAGAAAATTAATAATCAGATTATTTAGAAATAATGAGAAACAGTGTTGAGAGCTGAACGAAAAACAAGCCCAAGGATTAGAGATCTTAAAGAGAAGCCAGAATGAAATACTGGAAATGAAAAACTCAATTGACGATATAAAAAACACCATGGAATCCCTTGGAAATTGAACAGATGAAATAGAAGACCGAATATCAGAATTCGAAGACAAACTTCCAGAAATAATACAGTCAGTTCAAATGCAGGAAGAAGAAATTAAAAAATTAAAAAATATGGTTGGAGACCTACAAGATTTAATCAAACGGTGTAATGTTTGGATAATAGGAGTCCCTGAGGGGGTGGAAAGAGAGAATGGATTGGAAGGTGTTTTCAATGAAATAATATCAGAAAACTTCAAAAAAGGCAGCTGGATAACAACAGGCAAATTCAACAGATAGCCAGGACTCCAAACAGGGTAGACCAGAAGAGAAATTCACCACGACACATTGTGGCAACACTCAGTTCAGTGACACACAAAGAACAAATCCTAAAATGTGCCAGAGAAAAATGACAAATCACATTCAGGGGTAAGTTAATCAGACTCACCCCAGACTTCTCATCGCAAACACTACAGGCAAGGAGACAATGGCATGATATATTTCAAGTTTTAAAAGACAAGCAATGCCAACCTAGAATACTATACCCTGCAAAGCTATCATTTATGAAGGGGAAATAAAGATCTTCCACGACAAACAGAAACTGAAAGAATTTGCATCCACGCGTCCAACCCTACAACACTTGCTCAAAGACGTGCTGCACACAGAAATACAAAAACAAGAACTTCACTACAAAAAAAAAGCGAATGTAGAGTAACCTACAAAGTAAGTTCAAAATACATAAACAGCTCGTTTAGGAAACATGAATGGGAAAAGACAGTACTTAACAGTAATTACACTGTGTGAATGGTCTTAATTCTACTACCAAAAGACATAGACTAGCTGATTGGATCAAGAAAGAGAATCCATCTTTATGTTGCCTTCAGGAGACACACCTTATCAGCAAAGATGCACGCAGACTGAAAGTGAAAGGATGGAAAAAGATACTCCAAGCTAACAGAAATCAAAAAAGAGCTGGTGTGGCCATCCTGATATCAGATAAAATAGACTTTAACATAAAAACTATTTTTTTTTAAACTTTTATTTAATGCATACAAATTTCCAAAGTACGACTTATGGATTACAATGGCTTTCCCCCCATACCGTCCCTCCCACCCACAACCCTCCCCTTTCCCACTCCCTCTCCCCTTCCATTCACATCAAGATTCATTTTCGATTATCTTAATATACAGAAGATCAGCTTAGTATACATTAAGTATGGATTTCAACAGTTTGCTCCCACACAGAAACATAAAGTGAAAAATAATAGATGATTTTTTAAAATGATGATGAAATCAGAGCAGACCTATTGCCATGTTTAATCCCAGTGAGAGTCAAGTTGGGAATTGATAATTTCTTTCTTTTCTTTTTTTTTTTTTTTTTTTACAGAGGATCAGTTTAGTATGCATTAAGTAAGGATTTCAACAGTTTGCACCCCCATAGAAACACAAAGTGAAATATATTGTTTGAGTACTCGTTATAGCATTAAATCTCAATGTACAGCACATTAAGGATAGAGATCCTACATGAGGAGTAAGTGCACAGTGACTCCTGTTGTTGACTTTACCAATTGACACTCCTGTCTATGGCATCAGTAATCTCCCTATGCTCCAGTCATGAGTTTCCAAGGCTATGGAAGCCCTCTGAGTTCTCCGATTCTTATCTTGTTTAGACAAGCTCATAGTCAAAGTGGAGGTTCTCTCCTCCCTTCAGAGAAAGGTACCTCCTTCTTTGATGGCCTGTTCTTTCCACTGGGATCTTACTCACAGAGATCTTTTGCCAGAGTGTCTTGGCTTTCCATGCCTGAAATACTCTCATGAGCTTTTCAGCCAGCTCCGAATGCCTTTAGGGCTGATTCTGAGGCCAGAGTGCTATTTAGGACATCTGCCATTCTATGAGTCTGCTGAGTATCTCACTTCCCATGTTGGATCACTCTCCCCTTTATTTACTCCATCAGTTAGCGTTAGCAGGTACTAGACTTGTCTATGTGCTCCCTTTGACTCCCAGTCCCTTCACCATGACCAACTGTGAACTGAAACTGATCACCTGGAACAGTGAGATGGCATTGGTACATGCCACCTCAATGGGATTGAATTGGAATCCCCTGGTATGCTTCCAACTCCACCACTTGGGGCAAGTCAGCCTGAGCATGTCCCAAATTATACATCTCTTCCCTCTCCCATTCCCACCACCATGTTCAACAGGGATCACATTTCAGTTAATTTTCAACACTTAAGAATAACTGTGCATCAATTACAGAT